CTACCCTCTCTGCCCCCCGCCCCACCCCCAAGAGTCTGCTTCTGAGTAATCCAGGTCCCCTGGAACCAGTCCTCAGGCTCAGTTCTGGGGGTGGGGACAAGGACATCAATGCCATTTGGAAGCCAGGCAAATGTCATGCAAATGAGTGTGCGGAGGGCTCCTGGACCCTCGCTGGGCAGCCCGGGATTTCCCCTCCCTGAGCTTCTGGTCTTGACTTACTTGGGAAAGTCACTTAGATTCCTGGTTTGTGTAAGGAGATAAAAACAGCTGATACCTCCCGAGGTGGCTGTGAAACTTCAACGAGATAGTACACACGGAGCGTTTAGTACAGAGCCTGGTACAAGTAAATTCTGGGGTTCTCATCATCAGTAGCATCGCCAACCTGCCCATTTGGTGGATGCGGAAACTGAGGCCCAGTGTAGTTGTATCCCCGGGGGGAAGGGGGAGGGGACTCTGAGACCCAGACATGGCTTTACCAGGGGAAGAAGGTGGGGGGCGGATCCCAGCTGAGAAGGGAGTGGGGTAGGAGCTATATTTGAGCTGCTGGTGTGATGACTAAGGAGGTTGATAACAGGCTCTGGGGCTCAGGGCGGCAGGATGGGGGCAGCTGCCAGGGAGAACCGCCCCCCTGCTGCACAGAGCTGGCTCCCTCCCTCCCCGCACTCCAGGGGATGGGGCGCACACTGAGGCACAGGGTACAGCGTGTCCGGCCCCCTTCCGGAAACTCTTAGTGCTGACCTTCAGGCTGTTTGGGTTGGGGATAGGGAAGGAGAGCGCTGGTGCTTGGTTACTCTCCATAGTAACCCTGGAAGGTTGGAAATACGATCCCATTTGACAGAGGAGGAAACTGAGGCCTAGGGACCACACAGCCGGTAGGGGACAGAGCATGGGGTTCCCAGGGAGATAGCGGATAATTTTCCCCCACAGAGATGAGCACTGAACCCCTTCTTTGAAGGTGAGTCCACGTTGCCAAATTGAAAAGAGAAGTGCCCTGGCGAACAGAGGGAGCAGCAGGTGCAAAGATATGGCTTGTGGAAGGTTCTGTCTGTGAAAGGATGCAAAATTTGGACATACGCCAGCATGGCCCTTCGGCTCAGAGTAAGTACACCGTAAACAGGTGTATACACCTTCCTCTTTCCTCCTCTTCCCCTAGCTGCCTCCCAGGGCTCCTGTGAGTGGTAAGGTCCTTCCTTTTATGTCCTGGTCACCCTGACCCAGGCCACACAGTGAGGGAGGCCACACCATGGCCACTGAGAAACAGCTAGAGAGGTAGAGGATGCTGCATGCACCGGGGGAGGTGGAGAAGGGGAGCCTTCCTTCATTAGGGAGAGCTGCCCAGAGGAGGAAGTACACTGGGCATCAATCAGGAACTCAAGACTTCACGCCAGGGTTCCTTACTGGTGCCAAGTGCCACATGTTATGTCACTGTCCCTATGCCCTGGGGCAGGTGACATCTCTACCTCCCATTGAGCCTCTCAGGAAATGGGCTCAAGGAGGAGGAGTGACTTTCCCAAGGTCACACAGCAGGGGCCGCGCTCAGGCATCCCTCCTCCCTCTCTGCCTCTCCCCCTCCTCCTAGGCAGCCTGGCACCCGCTGTCAGCTGCTCTGAAGTGAGTGGCTATTTTTATTCTGGTGCGAGGGGATCGCAGGCAGCAGAGCCATGTAGGTTAGAAGGCTCTAGGACACCCGGCTTTCGCAGGCAAGGAGAGGCTCGTTGCAGGGACGTAAGCTTGCCTAGAAGTCGGGGGGCTCTTCTTCCTTGCAGGCCCACCTGCCCTGGGCTCCCATATCTTCAGAAACTTTTTTTTTCCTTGAGCTCAGAACAGAGCATCAAGCCGGATTGAACCCTCACCCTGATCCCAGATCCAACTTGAGCCCCAATCTTGGTGTTAACTGAGCCCTGATCCCGTAGACTGAGCCTCTCTATCCCAGCTTTAGACTAAGCTCTGCCCGTGGCCTTAGCTTGAGCCCTGACTCTAGTCACACAAGGAGCCTGATCCAGTCCTTACTAAGTCTGATCCCAACTTGAGACCTCGATTCTGGATCCAGATGGAGCCCTGATCCTGGCCCAAGACTGAGTCATAGTCACAAACTGAATTCTAACCCTAGTCTACACTAACCCTTGACATTACACTGAGCCCTAACCCCAAGTTTAGACTGAACTTCCAAGTTTAGTCGTGAACTAAACCCTGGAACTGGTGGGAGACTGAGTCCTGATCCTGTTTACAAACTGAGCCCTGAGCCTAATCAATGGACTGAATCCTGACCAATAAACTGAGCCCTGACCCGGGGTCACACAGCTCTGGCCTCACACTGACCCGTAACCTCAGCCTGTGCATTGAACCTGGCCCAAAGCTGAGCCCTGAGTGTAGTCACAGACTGAGCCTTGATCCTGGAGGGTGAGGCCCAAGCCTAATCATCACTGGCTGAGCCCTGACTCCTGCTCCAGATTCAGTTCTAACCCTGACCCCAGGCTAAGGGCTGAGCCTGATCCGGTCTGGGCCTGACCTCATCACAGGCTAAACTCTAAGCCCAGCTCCCTCCGAGGAAGTCTGCTGGCCTAGATTACAAACTGCCACATAAGGGAATGGATTACCAGCAGTGATTGTTCTGGGAGATGGTGGACCTCCCATGGCTGCCGCTGCCAGAATGTTCCCGGTACTGTTGTGGCCAGTGTCTCTCTCACTGGTTCCACTGGCTGGCTAGTCAACCCTCGGCAGCCCAGGCTGTGGCCCCTGCAGTCCACGGCATCCAGGTTAATGCAATGAGAGTGGTTTGATGGCATCTCGCCAGTGACCGACGTGGCCCAAAGGGCATTGAGGCTTGGTTCTGTCAGCAGAAAACCACAGGCTCCATGAGGCCTCTGGCTTCAGCCACTCTGAGATGTGTGTGTGTGTGTGTTGTGTGTGTGTGCGGGTGTGTGTGTGGGGGGGGGGAGGCGGGGAGGGGCGTGTAGAGGGAGCCCATTATTTTTTCTTTTTTAAAAAAATGATCGTTGAAGTCTTTATTTCGCTAAATATTTTTATTGATTTCAAAGAGGAAGGGAGAGGGAGAGAGAGAGAGAGAGAAACATCAATGATGAGAGGGGATCATTGATTGGCTGCCTCCTGCATGCCCCCTACTGGGGATTGAGACGGCAACCTGGGCATATGCGTGGACAGAGAATCCGTTACCTCCTGGTTTGTAAGTCGAAGCTCAACCACTAAGCCACGCCAGTTGGGCACATTGTTGTTGTTTTTTAATATATATTTTTATTGATTTCAGAGAGGAAGGGGGGGAGAGAGAGAGAGAGAGACATCAATGCGAGAAAAAAAAAAATCGATCAGTTGCTTCCTGTATGTACCCCAACTGGGGATCGAACCAGCAACTTAGGTATGTGCCCTGACCAGGAATCCAACCCACAACCTTTTGGTGTACGAGAGGATGCTCTGAACCGCCTGGCCAGGGCAAAAATGTTATAGTTTTAATTTATTTTAAAATCAGAAGAAAAAAATGAATATGTAATAATGAATCCAGCCTGGATTATATTCTTTTTTATCAAAGCAGTTGTAAAATCCAGTGTTTAATATGATTTCTTAGTGGAGAAAGGGGCCCAGAAAGGCAAAAAAATGCCCAGGGGGTCCATGAAAATCCTAAAGCAGCCTTGGTTTGATGCTGAGAAGAATTCTGAGTCCCAGTCTCCATCCAGTGGGAAAGAACGGTGATCAATTTGCTGTGTCTGTCTTAGGCGAGAAGAGGGGAGGTGGTATTTGGATCCAGTCCTCTTTGGCTTGGTGAGATGAGCCCAGAGGCATTTCAGGTTCAAATCCCAGACCCACAACTTAATCATGCTTGACCTTTTCTGAGACTGTTTCCTAACCTGCAAAAGGAAGTAGTTCATGGGCCTTTTATGAGGTAAGGAATGGAATAATGAAAACTAGCACGGTGCCAGGGACTGTTCCAAAACCCTTCTACCCTCGCAGCTCCTACAGAGCACGTCATGTTCCTATCGCCACAATGTGTGCTTTAGGAATTGAAACCCTAATTGAAATTTAAAAACAAACACCATAAGCCAGGACTCCCCAGGCTCCAGTTTCCTCTTGAAATCCGTGTCTGCCTAGAAACTCCCCTGTCGGTCCGCATCCCGCCCGCGCCCCCTGCAGGCGAGAGGCGGTGCTGTCTGGCTGCTTCCTGCCCGAGCGTCCAGGCCCTCGGGGGGCAGAGGGAGGGTGGCCACTCTCAGGACAAGGAAAGTAAAAGCCCGAGGGCCCGTGAGGACCTGGAACCCCACTGGGAG